AGGACAGATTTCTTCTGATTCTGTTTTCTGAAGAGATCGTAGAGAATTGTTACCAATTATTTCTTAAATGTTTTTTCATCATAGAATTCACTAGGGAAACTGTCAGGGCCTGGTGCTTTCGTTTTTAGAAGGTTGGTAATTATTGACTCATTTCTTTAATAGCTATAACTTATTCAGATGACCTGTTTCTCCTTGTGTAAGTTTTGGTACTTTGTGACTTTCAAGGAGCTGGTCCATTTCATTTGTCAAATTTGCGGACATAGAATTGTTCATCTTTCTTTCTTTCGAATGGGAATCTCTGTCACACAGGATGGAGTGCAGTGGCATGGTCACAGTCACTGCAGCCTCGACCTACTGGACTCAGGTGAGATCCTTCCTCCTCAGCCTTCCAAGTTGCTGGAACCACAGGCATGCACCACCATGCCTGGCTAATTTTTTGATTTATTGTAGAGACGAGGTCTTGCCAAGTTGCCCAGGCTGGTCTCGAACCCCTGGGCTCAGGCAATCCTCTCACCTCTGCCTCCCAAGTACCAGGATTATAGGCATGAACCACCGCACCTGAACCTAGTATTTCTTTTTTTTTTTTGAGTTGGAGTCTCACTCTGTCGCCCAGACTGGAGTGCAGTGGCCATTCCCAGCCACCGCAGCCTTGACCTGCTGGGCTCCGGCGATCCTTCCGCCTCAGCCTTCCAAGTAGCTGGAACTACAGGCACGCGCTACCACGCCCGGCTAATTTTTTTGATTTATTGTAGAAATGAGGTCTCGCCTGCCCAGGCGGGTCTTGAACCTGCTGGCTCAGGCAATCCACTCACCTTAGCCTCCCAAAGGCGCGGGATTACAGACTGAGCCACCGAGCCCGGCTCTAGTATTTCTTAACTATCTTTTTATTTTATCTTCTTCTTATTATTACTATTATTATTATTATTACTATTATTTGAGTTGGGGTCTCACTCCGTTGCCCAGGCTGGAATGCAGTGGTATGCTCACGGCCACCCCAGCATCGACCTGCTCGGCACCAGCCATTCTTCCGCCTCAGCCTTCCAAGTAGCTGGAACTATAGGCATGCGCTACTACCTCCAGCTAATTTTTGATTTACTGTAGAGACGAGGTCTCATCAAGTTGCCGAGGTGGGTCTCGAACCCGCTGGCTCAGGCAATCCCCTCGCTTCAGCCTCCCAAAGTGCTGGGATGGTAGGCTGAGCCACTGAGCCTGGCCTCTGTACTATCTTTTTAAAAGTCCATGGGATCCATAGTGATGATCCCTCTTTCCTCTCTGTTATCAGTAATTTATGTCTTCTGTTTTTTTTTCCCTTGGTTAGCCTGGCTAAAGTTTTTTGAATTTTGTAATCTTTTCATAGAAGCAGCATTTGGTTTCATTGATTTCCTTTTTTCCGTTTCACTGATTTCTATTCTAATTTTTATTTCTCTTCCTCTGCTCCCCACAGGCTTATATCACTCTACATTCTACAGTTTCCTAGAATTATTGATTTTTAGATCTTTTCTCTAATGTATGTATTCGATGCTATAAACTTTACTGACTACTGTTGTCATAGAATCCCACTTGAAGTTGTAGTTTCGTTTTCATTTAGTTCAAGATATTTTAAATTTTCTCTTGAGACTTTCTTGACCCGTGTATTGTTTCGTAGTATGTTGTTTAATATCCAAATATTTGGGAATTTTTCAACTATCCTTCTGTTATTGTTATCCAGCTTAAATCCACTGTGGTCCAAGAGCATACTTCATAAAATGTATACTATTGTACATGTGTTAAGATGTGCTTTATGGCCAAAAATGTGCTCTATCTTGGTGAACATTCTCTGAGCACTAAAGAAGAATGTGTATTCTGCTGTTTTTGGATGCAGCATTCTATAATATTGTATAATCTATCATTTTTTTTTTAGTCAGAGTCTCACTGTCATCCAGGCTGGAGTGCAGTGACATACTCATGACCACTGCAGCCTTGACCTGCTAGGCTCAGGCGTTTCCTCCGCCTCAACCTTCCAAGTAGCTGAAACTACAGGTGTGTGCCACCACGCCCAGCTAATTGTTTTTTCTCTTTATCATAGAGACGAGGTTTCACCAAGTTGCCCAGGCTGGTCTCAAACCCCTGGACTCAGGCAACCCTCTCGCCTCAGTCTCCCAAAGTGCTGGGATTACAGACTTGAGCCACCGTGCCCAGCTACAAATGCTTTATAAACTATAGAACTATTCTGTAATTAAATCCAGTTGACCAATGGTGCTGTTCAGTTCATCTCTATTCTTACTATTTCTCTGCCTTCTGAATCTGTTAGGAGTGCTGAGGAGTGCTGAAGTCTCCACCTATGTAGTGGATTTATCTATTTCTTACAGTTCTATCAAACTTTTTGCCTTGTATGTTTTGACTATCTGCTCTCAGGTATCTATATTTGAAGGATTGCTATGTCTTCTTGGAAAATTGATCCTCTATCGTAGTATAGTTATCCTCTTTGTCCCTGATCATTTTCCTTGTTCTGAAGTCTGCTTTGTCCGAAATCAATATACCCATTCCAGCTTTCTTTGATGACTGTCAGCGTGACACGTCTTTTTCCATCCTTTCAATAATCATTGGCCTGGATCTTTATATTGAAAGTGGATTTCTTGTAGACAACACAGAGCTGGGTTTTGTATTTTTTAAATACACACTGACAAGTCTCTGTCTTTTAATTAGTGTATTCATATTTAAAGTGAGTATTAATATAGTTGCATTAATGTGTGCCATGTTTTATCTGCTTTCTATATGGTCTACTTTTTTTCTTCTTTTTTTCTTGAGTCAGAGTCTCACCCTGTCGCCCAGGCTGTTGTGCAGTGGCATGCTCACGGCCACCCCAGCATTGACCTGCTGGGCTCCGGCGATCCTTCCACCTCATCCTTCCAAGTAGCCAGAACTACAGGCATGCGCTACCATGCCTGGCTAATTTGTTGATATATTGTAGAGACAAGGTCTCACCATGTTACCCAGGCTGGTCTCAAATCCCTGGACTTAGGCAATCCTCTCACCTCAGCCTCCCAAAGTGCTGGGATTATAGGCCTGAGCCACCGCACCTGGCCTATTTTTTTTTAATGTTCCTTTTTTTTTTTGAGTTGGAGTCTCACTCTGTCGCCCAGGCTGGAGTGCAGTGGCACATTCACGGCTGCCCCAGTGTCAACTTGCTGGAGCCTGAAGGCGATCCTTCTGCCTCATCCTTCCAAGCAGCCGGAACTACAGGTGCAGGCTACCACACCCAGCTAATTTTTTTGATTTTTTTGTACAGATGAGATCTCACCAAGTTTCCCAGGCTGGTCTTGAACCCGCGGGCCCAGGCAACCCACTCACCTCAGCCTCCCAAAGTGCTGGGATTATAGGCTGAGTCACCAAGCCCGGCCCTTTTATTCTTTTTTTTGGAGAAGGGCAGTCCTTCCACCTCAGTCTTCCAAGCAAGTGTGCACCACCACATCTGGCTAAACTTTTTATTTATTGCAGAGATGCCATCTGCCAAGTTGCCCAGGGTGGTCTTGAAACCCTGGGCTCAGGCAATCCTCTCACCTCTGCCTCCCAAAGTGCTAGGATTACAGGCGTGAGCCACTGTGCCCGGCCTATTTTGTCTTTCTTTTTCGCTTTTGTTTTGAGTTGGAGTCTCACTCTGTTGCCCAGGCTGGAGTGCAGTGGCATGCTCTCTACTCACTGCAGCCTCCAACTTCTGGGCTCAGGTGATCCTTCTGTCTCAGCCCCTCCAGTACAGGTGTGAGACTCTGTGCCTGGCTCTTTTGTCTTTCTTATACTCACTGTTCCAATGGGCAGTCAAATGGTTGATGAAGAGAATTTTTCTTTATAAGCGATTGCAGATAGTAAATGAAAAAGAAATGCTGAATTTAGAGTATCAGTTTTGTAAACTCCAATGAATTAAAGCATGTAGAAAATGATCATCCAGGCCGGGCGCGGTGGCTCACGTCTATAATCCCAGCACTTTGGGAGGTCGAGGTGAGAGGATTGCCTGAGCCTACAGGCTCAAGACCAGCCCAGGCAACTTGGTGAGACTTCATCTCTACAATAAATCAAAAAGTTAGCCGGACATGGTGGTGCGTGCCTGTAGTTCCAGCTACTTGGAAGGCTGAGGTGGAAGGATCGCCGGAGCCCAGCAGGTCGAGGCTGTGGTGGCTGGGAGCGTGCCACTACCCTCCAGCCTGGGTGACAAAAAAAAAGATCATTCATAGTTTCTAACTTCACAAAAAGACATGAGCGATTATATCCCTCTTGAAGGAAAAAAATACAACCACTCAGAAACATTTATGGCCAGAAATGTGGTCTATCTTAGTGAATGTTCTCTGAGCACTAAAGAAGAATGTGTATTCTGCTGTTGTTAGATGCAGCATGCTATAATATTGTATAATCTATAAATTTTTTTTTGTTCCCTGCTCCCCCTCCAAACTCCTAGATCTAATTTCTCATTTACAGGAAGTTTAGAAGCAGATGAACTTGACACTACAGAAAGGCTGTTACTAATATCCAGTCTGTGGGAAATTTATAAGACCAAAAACATAAAATAAAACAATAAAACTCAACATCTAGCCAGGCTCGGTGGCTCAGCCTGTAATCCTGCGCCTTTGGGAGGCTGAGGTGAGTGGATTGCCAGAGCCCGTGGGTTCGAGACCCGCCTGGGCAACTTGGCAAGACCTCATCTCTACAATAAATCAAAAACTAACCAGACGTGGTAGTGCATGCCTGTAATTCCAGCTACTTGGAAGGCTGAAGTGGAAGGATCACTGTAGCCCAACAAGTCGAGGCTGCAGTGGCCGGGAGCGGCCACTGCACTCCAGCCTGGGTGACAGAGTGAGAATCCAACTCAAAGACAAAACAAAACAAAACAAAAAAACAAACTCAACATCTACTCTTGATTTTTAAAAACTGTTAGTAACATAGCTTTAATTAGACATTATATGAAAAAAGCTTCATGGTTATTGGCGAAATAGCAAAAACAGTCCTGTGGAAGATTCAGGAAAAAGACAATGTTGTCCTCTGATATCAGTAACATTTGGAACTCTTCTGCAAGTACTGGCCAAGGCAATTAGAAATCAAATTACAAGATATAATGGGCGAGGCAAAATTATCACTATTTGAAAGTGAGGGCCGGGCTCGGTGGCTCAGCCTGTAATCCCAGCACTTTGGGAGGCCAAGGCAAGAGGATTGCCTGAGCCCGTGGGTTTGAGACCCACCTGGGCAACTTGGCAAGAACTCATCTCTATAATAAATCAAAAATTAGCTGGGTGTAGTTGTGCATGCCTGTAGTTCTGGCTACTTGGAAGGCTGAGGTGGAAGGATCGCCAGAACCCAGCAGGTCAAGGCTGCGGTGGCTGTGAGCATGCCACTGCACTCCAGTCTGGGCAACAGAGTGAGACTACAACTCAAAGAAAAAAAAAAAAGAACGTGAGATGACTAATTCTGCGAACTTAAGAAAAAAATAGAAACTGCTAGGAATAACAAAAGAATTCAGTAGATATCTTGTTAAAAAGTTAATATATAAAAATCAACAACTTTGCCATAGACAAGGGGTTTGTAAATATGGCCCATGGGCTAAATCCAGCCTATTGCTTGTTTTTGCAAATAAAGTTTTATTGGAACACACCCATGCTCATTCATGTATTCATCGTCTGTGACTTTTATGCTGTAGCAGCAAAGTAGGGTAGCTGTGACTGAGATCATAAGGTCTACAAAAACATAAAATACTATTTGGCCCTTCACAGAGAAAGTTTGACAACTTCTGCTATAGATTTAAAAATCAGTTAGAAAATAAATGGAAAAAGACCCAATTTTAGAAATAAATATATCTAGGAATAAGCTTTACAATATGCAATAACTATTATATATGAACAAACCCTCACAGATAGACATAAAAGGAAATGTGAAATGAACTTATGTATATATTCTTGAAAGAAAACTAAAGCACAGGCCGGGCGTGGTGGCTCAAGCCTGTAATCCCAGCACTTTGGGAGGCTGAGGTGAGAGGACTACCTGAGCTCATGGGCTCAAGAATGGCCTGGGCAACTTGGCCAGACCGCATCTCTAAAATAAATTTAAAAATTAGGTGGAAGTGGTAGCGTGCACCTGTAGTTCCAGCAACTTGAAAGGCTGAGACCGAAGGCTCGCCTGAGCCCAGCAGGGCGACACTGGGATGGCCACGAGCGTGCCACTGCACTCCAGCCTGGGTGACGGAGACTCTGATTCAAAAAAAATTGTTTTTAGAAAACTAAAACACAAGTTTTTCTTTTTTTTGTAGGCATACCTATATGATTTATTTAGTTTTTAAATTTTAAAGATGTGGGGTACAATTCAGGGTTAGGTACATAAGTGGTCACTGTACAGATGAGGTTTGGGCTTCCCATGGGTCCTCATTCCACCTGGTTTTGGATCAGGTACACTTATTAATGTTACGTGCTCCCCCGAATTCCTCCCCTGGCAGTGATCTGATACTGCCAATCTCTTTCATGTAGTATTTTTTTTTTTTTTTTTTGAGTTGGA